AGATTACCATTGAATACCTTTCTCCATTACTTCATGTTTGACATTAACATCACCGCTGTAGTCGTGTATCAGATTGAAAGTCAAGACTCTCAATCTCATGCTTTTTTCTTTGATGGGATTCCACAACTTGTTGAAAACTGGCACAAATTATGCTGAAATCAAAGGAAATAACATAAAAAATTATTGAAGAACACCTCATTACAGCAATATATCTTTTTTTAATGCTTTGCCTTTGTAATGGACCACTAGACAAGCTGCGGATTGAAGCAATCTGATACATGTTTTGTGACCAGAATTTCATGTAGAACACGATTAGCGCAACGAATATTACTGAAACTAACTCCTAACGAAGATATCAATGTTGTTATTTTACATTTGTTACGAGGAATTTCAACTGCCCGCTCACAAGAAACTCAAAGCTCTACGTGAGTCAAATCGCGCACTACAACGCTTTCAGCAAGCTTCTCAATCGAGCAATGTTCCTTTCCCACCATGTACTGTTCAGACTATGAGCAATTTGCTATAGCTGAGCCAAAGCGTCAAGATCGATGTTGCCAGATTTTTATATCGCAGAGACTGTCATGATAACGTTTAGCGCACGATGTGAATCACGTAGAGCATTGAGTTTTTATAAGCGGGTGGTTTGAATTTACGCATCAAGAATCATTAAATATCTTCCGAAGGAGTTGATATCGGTAATTTTCGTTGTGCGCTTCATGTTTTACGTGAAATTTTGGTGAAGAAACATGTATCACAATGCTGAAATTCGTACCTTGTCTAGTGGTCCATTGACCCAGAATTATCCCGATTAAGAGATGATTTAAAGAGGGCATTGGTTATCAACCAGCACATTTTCCTTCAAGCAAGTCTGTAAAATAGGCTGAACTTTTCGCAACATTGTAATATTGAAAAAGACAATTTTCAAAATTGTCGTCCTTCATGACAAACAGGCAACAAATTAGGAAATGAATCCTAGAGAAAAATGGAATTTCCTGCACTCCAATAATTAGAGTGGAAAAAAACCTTGAGAAAGCAAAGATTTTTGGGACTTGGAATTCACTTTTATTATCTTTGATAAGCTCCTTTGATTGGGACAATATTAGGTACTGAGAAATTCAATGACTCTCCTATATGAATAGGGTTTTTAAACACTTCTGCAATAGTTATTCCTGACATTTTTGGGGCCATTAAACCCTTTCTGCTGAAATACTCAATTCATTTAATGAATAGGTAAAAAGGTTCATTTGAGTATTCATTCTTTTTGAGACAGAACACCTATGTTTGCTGGCTTTTTTCTGAGTTAATAAAGTTCAATGTTTCTTTTACTGCTTACCGCCACACAGGAGTGAACAGGAAAACCAACGATATTCCGTAAAGTTCCTTTCGCAAGTAGTAGGATCCAGCAGCACTAGTAATTGTCCAAGTAAAACCTTCACACAAGCTGAGTCTACAAGTTCTGCTAATTTGATGCCCTTGAGTGACCTGAAGGAAAAAGAGAAAGAGCAGAAGAGAGAACAGAGGCAGGTAACAGAAGAGATAAGTGAAGAAGAAATACGTGAGGCTAATACAACTGAAACTCCACTTAGAAAAGTTGACAGAGAGTGTCAAACCCTCTTAACAGCTACTGATCCCTGCTTAGTTGCAGAAAATTATCTTTTGAAGCTTAAAGTTGAAAAGCTGGAAAATCAGATGCAAGAGATGAAGGACTCGAAGCGATTTGGAATTTCACAATTAGAAAATAATGATAATTATGTTAAATATTATACTGGTTTCCCAACTTATAGAATGTTACAGATATTCATTAATATATTCAAAGATCTTGACATTAATTACTATTTAAAGTGGTCAGTTCACAAAATAGAGAGGGAAGATCAAATTTTTATTACTCTCCTCAAACTTCGTGTAAATTATGGTACGATAGATTTGGCACGACAATTTGACTGCAGTCAAGCCACAATTTCAAACATAATAATAACCTGGATTCATGTTTTCCACGAGGTCCTAGTTTTAGATTTATTTAAAGAGATTCCATCTGTAGCGAAAAATAAGGCGTGCTTGCCACCATGTTTTACCGATTTTAATAACTGTAGAATTGTCATTGATTGCACTGAAGTGTTTGTTGACACTCCTCACAACTTAACTTTAAAGAAAAAAACATACAGTAATTACAAGCATTCAAATACATTTAAGGGACTAGTAGGCGTTGCACCAAATGGCGTCCCTACATTTTCAAGTCAATTGTTTCCTGGATCCACATCGGATAAAGAAATTGTCAGGAATTGTGGGCTCCTAGAGAAATTAAAGCCTGGGGATTTGGTGCTGGCGGACAAAGGATTTTTAATAACCGATATTGTTCCTCCTGGGGTAGAAGTAAACATTCCGCCATTTTTGATGACGCCGCAGTTCACCCCTCACGAACTTCACGTAGGGAAAAAAATTGCACAGGCAAGGATCCACGTAGAACGAGCCATTGGTCGAGTAAAATATTTTCAAATTTTAAGAATGATTCCACGAAATTTATTCTTTTACTCCTCTAAGATATTTCAAGTGTGCGTTGCATTAACAGCTTTTAGGTTTCCATTATTGAAGGAACTCGAATCTACTTATGATCGTCTTGCAGAAGTCCATGTTCAAAGTAGCAACACAGAGTTAACAGGAGAGAAATCTTGAAATAGAGAAGACGGTAGAAATTATAAAATAATTAAAGCACAATATGACCTGCTTTCATATTAGAATTTCATTAATGAGTGATAGATTAGGTAGAATGGAGAATTAACGCGCAATTTTTTTTTTTACTATAATCAGAAAGTGATCTGAAGACCCCTGTGCCGACCCCCCCTTATCATTTTTGAAGCATTAAAAACTGTGAGAGAAAACAAAATTAATTCATCTTATAACGATCTATTCACCCACTTTGCCATGAGACAGAATTGCAGGGAGAAAAATATTGTAATAAAAATTTAAAAGCATAGAAATGTTTGCTGCCCATGATTCTTCCTTGTCAATGCTCACGTGCACAAAACTTTTAGTGGTCCAAATGACAAGGTTACAATGCTCTCTTTTCGTGATATGTAGCTGCCCTTGAATCTGGTCATAATAACAATGATCTTTATTAACTTCCAAAATGTTGTTTTTTATTCTGACAATATAATTACTCTCTTTTTGTAGTACTTCCTCTAAATCATCCCCTTTCCACTTGTATGGGCATTTGATTTCAAGTAGAGAATCATGACCAATTAACCCGTCTGGTGAGGCACCTAATAAGCCACTCTCATGGAGGAACAAGCCACAAGGTTTAACTTTAATTTTAAAACACTGCTCGAAGATCTTTTTGACATCTTCTTCATGGTTCTTGCCCCACTGGACTGCTAGAACTCCATCTAGGTCATATGACCCTAGTAGAGTCTTAAATAGAGAAGGGGGGAATCTATTGAGTCGAATGGCTCTTAAAATTGCAAAAAAGTTGCTAGCTGTCAAAACAAAGCGTCGTGCTAGTAGCCAGTTGGGATTAGCCCGCTGACCGATAGTCAGTTGTTCAACTGTCTTTACCACTTCCGCGCTAACTTTGGCATGCTCCAGCAAAAACTGGGCTTTATCAGTAGATTGGAGGAATTCATCTTGAGTGAAAATAGCCTCAAGAGAATGAACTGTGAGGGCATCGTCTGGTATTTCTTCCATTAGTAGAAAGGAAACGCCAGGATGCAAACCGTATTCAGATGTTACATCCTGGTACAACTGATCTTTAATAGCTTGGGGTAATACTGTACCAAGGGCTCTGTAGTCCTGTTGCTCAGGATTGGCAAAGAGTTGCTCGATTGGGACACAAGTGTCATCTGTAGGTGCCTTCTGCCTTTTCCATTGGCAAGATTTGTCTGTTTTGGAAATGTTATGGTGGGCATGTATGAGAAGGGCAGCCATGTGATGGCATCTCCCTTGGCCTGCAGGACAGGAGCAGAAACCGCTTTTAATGGTTCTATCTGCATTAATGTCAATCTAGAAAAAAGAAGAGAAACTTAATGTCAAATAATTCATAAATTTTCGTTTCAAAATCTATTAATAAATAAGTAGGATCACATACTGGCATTATGAACTTATGACATTATGAAGTATGATATGATGTATCTGTGTGGTAGAGTTGGATACCAAAAGACGGCCAAAATTTTATGGGCACTATTCACTAATCTCAAGGTAAGTATGAGAAGTCAGCTGTTGCTGGTGGATTTTCTGTATGACTGACATAAGCCCAATAACTATGAAATTCACCCAGTAAACAAGGAAGATAGCTATTGATATATTTTTGAAATTTTTGGCCTTCAAGTCAGAAATTTGTGACCAAAGTATTCTAATCCTTTAAATAATGCAGATAAGTATGATAGACGCTGTTAAAGCTTTCTTTTCATGGTTAGATATACCTGGGCAAGTTATTCTCATGTCAGGTATTGAAGGAGGTGGTCTTTGATACTGCTCTACCCAATTAAATGTTTTGGAAAACCTTACTCAATATGTTCATGTTCACATCAACTTGAGTATATCTTTGACATTCAAAACTGAACCAGAGACATCTTCCTTGACACTCAACATAAATACAGATCAACTTTACCCACTTGGCTACTGATGAGTACTATTCAGAGGTTGTACATAAAAGGAACATGGAGTTACTATAAAATTGTAAGCTCCTGGTACTAAAGATAATGCACAGAAATACTCTGTTGCTTGATGGTACACCCAAGTAATTTCAAAGAGAGTAATTTTGGGCAGAATCGTCAAATGGAACCAAGCAACAATTCTTAGTTTACAGCTGCGTTGTGGAAGTAAACTTTTCAGGACTGTTTGGAAACGGAAGTATCCGATTCAAAACAGTCAGCGTTATTGGACTCACTTACAATTATCAGATGACTTGTGTGTTAACATATGAAGGCCTAACATTTCTACCAAACAGTCAATGATCTCAGGAGGTCAGTCGGGTTGCCTTTGCCAACAGAGGAACGAAACGGAATCGGAAAAGTTTACCTTGACAACGCACTTTACCTATGGTGTGATCATAGGTTCAATTCTGTTGAATTAATTGATGTAATGAGGAGGGTACATAGAAAAAATTGACTCACCTGGACATCATACTGTTTGTCTCGCTGACTTGCAAGGACGGTTCCTTTGATCAACAGGATTTCACTGTCGTAAGAAAGGCTGCATACATGTTGGCTTTCAAATGAATTTTCTCCCTTTTGAAACTGTTTCAGTCCGTCAACGGACTGGAAAAACTCCAGTATGTGATAAAGTTTAATCATTGTGAAAAACACAGACTACCAGAAACACAATAACAGTAAAAACACGATGCACAAACCTTCAGAGCGTTAAGCGTTCGTTGAAGCTATCACGTTTGAACATGTTTGAATTGTAAGGTTATGTTATTGTTTGGATCCAATTCGATACAATCGATACCGACTGTGACGTGGCACTAATAGCGTCTATACGGGGCCTTGAGTAAGGTTAACGACTCACCTCATCCGAAACGTGACTCACATGAGTTGGGTTAGCAGATAAGCGATTTCTCGGAAAAGTATGTTAGGTGCGCACTCCCATTCCTGCTCATGAAATAAATTTTCCATCTATTTTGGCGCCTACGTCGAATGCCAATGCGTTAGATATAATGGTATACAATTTGATCTCGGAATCGAGATTTAATTCGGAGCACTCTTCGGCTGAAAATCACAATTTTTGCAACAACAAAAAAACTCAAAGTTATACTTTGTAGTTTTATCGTAACTATTCCGAATTTTGATTTATTTAATTTCCCGTAACTTAACCTGTAGGTACGGTCCCTCATGAGGGACCGTAAGTGCATAACGTGGCAGACGGCAGACGGAGATACGGTGTGTGATAGGAGGAGGGAGGGGATGCAAAATCACGTTACGTCTCCCAATAAACAGTTCAAAGCGCCTTGCAATTTTTTTTTTTTAATTTTACGATAGTTTTGGTATGTGTATATTGACAAACAATTAGATATGTTTTCCGTCGAACGCAGGATACCGATCAAATCAAAGCATGGGGTTTTTTGAAGGGTGGGGGTTCTGACTTTTCCGAGGAGGATGGAGGACGGGTATGAAATTCCGAATGTCTGCTTAACGTTATATCTGAACGTATCTCATGAGGTTGTGAATTATGTAAAAAATCTCATCCGAGATGATTAACTGCAGATAAACTTTAGACATGGTAGAGAAATAATCGGTAGAAGCAGCCTAAAGGCGATTTAAGTTGCAACGCTGCGCCGCGTGCATTGTAAGTTACCAGAGAATTACACCGTGAATCGTATACGCTCTCCTGATTGTACAGCGTGAATTGATTATCTCTGTCAACTGCGGCACAGGATGTGTATACTGAGCTTTTGCATCGGTTCCCAGGGGATGTTCCGCTTGCGACGCTGAGCGACATGAGGACAGAAATGTGTTCATTATCAGTAGTGATATGGACGGACTTATCCAGAAGTTTTCCGTGCCACACCGGAGAGCAGTAAATCCGTATTCTATCCCATGCTGTCCGTATTTGGGTTGCAAAATACAAGTATTCGGCTTGTTTCAAAGTATATGATAAATTTTACATAAAAGCCAAATGCGAAAAATTTACGCCGATGATTTCGGATTAAGTTGCGAACTACTCAGAAAACTCCGCGTATTAAAAATACTACATTATTGGGGTTTACTATAAGTTGGAAATCCTGCACTTACTGTTGACTGAGTATTAGCGCGGCTGAATCACCCTATCTGCGTTTCATATCGCCTAATTAGTCATTTCCTCCTGTATGCATATGGTTCTTGCTACGAGAAAATTGAACGAAATAACACCGTGAAACTTATTGAACATTTCCTCCCGATTTAGAAGAATGTATTAACAATCTAGTCAAAATAGTGTCGCGTATTGTTAGTTTTATACCAAATAATTGTACTAAAAGAAGATACCAGGCAACCTAACTCGAAGTTCGGTCACAGGAAATGAGGCGATACCGTCTCTAAACTTGAGGAATTTTTGGGCTTTCCGCTTATTTGAGTGCATTGAAGTCGCCTCGCAGCATCTCTCGATGAAGTCAGTTTGATCATTGACCTTGAACTTGTTCAATTTCTGAGCACCATTCGGTAGTCGCGGTCATCCCTCAGGCTGTCATCGGAGGCAGCGCTCAAAACAGAAATTGGCGAAAACGTTATTAATGGCGTTTTAATTTAATCAACAGGACTCTAGCCTGTCACCTTTTGTTATCGTATATCCAATTTCAGATAATCAACCTCTTCATTGCGCAATTGCCGGCCCCCATGTCCCATACCTCCCCCCCCCCCCCCAACTGGCTCGGTCAACTCGCCTTTGGAACTGCTGCAGTATGTACCCTTTGGCCCCTGGGCCCCCTCCCTACGAGAAGTCAATCATCTTCGATCACAAATTGTTTTATTTCTCTATAATTCTTTCTTTGCCGGTTCAAGTTCAGAGTCTAGCTTCTTTCCGTAGTTGACTGATTGGGCAGTATAAAAAAGTACTACTTCCATAATAGACGTTCGTTCCTCACAATTTTGCCCCCAACATTCCCGTTGAATTGTTGATTAAAGAAATTATACAAATTTCAGATTGACTACAGGTAGTTTTTTCCTATTTTGCTTTTCCAAATAGGTGCACCGGTTATCAAGGCTCAAAATCACAACACTAGATATAACCCTCGAAAACATCAATGTTATCGAAAAATATGCAATAAAATTTGGTCAAGGAGGTAAAATATCTGTTGCTCCACAATATGATCTTAGTCAGGTTTTCAAAAGATTTTTAGCCGATCGAGAATATTGTCAGAACTTCTCTTTTTTACTTTTTTTCGGGTTAATGTAATGTAAGCCAAGTACAACGTGCGGGTTTCTCTCACCATGAATGATAAGCTTTCCATTCAAAACGTCAACATCGCTGTGACTTTAATTCATACTTTGTTTACAATCACTTGCTTCCGATGTCTGCTGGTCATCAAGAAACTGACCGAAGTTATTTGACCTATCGAATTTTATCTTAAAGTTTTCCGCCGGTTTTTTGCCAGTTCCATAGCGTCGTTTCTTCCCCGGCTAATTTCATTCATTATTGCGTTGTTTATTCATGCATCTGTCGTGCAGTTTTTTTATCTATTTAATTACTGATTCATTAAAACTTTCCCGTGTGTAAGCCAGCATTCATCTGCATTTTGCAACCGCTGCGCTGACAGGGTGACACACAACGCTAGCTATAATCAACGGTAACTTTAACGCAGGTCAATTAATTTTTATTTTTGCTCCCTCAAAAATTAGCTTAAAACGATGAAGGCAACAACGCCCCTTCAAAAGCCCTTTTTCAATAGATTTTAAAATCTTATCAGTAATAATAAAAAAAAGTCCAATTATTTCTCATTAAAGCTAGTTGAAATTGAAACAGACCCATCAAAATCTCAACCTTTTAAACCTTTGCGCGCTCTGTAAAAAAAGTAAACAAATTTTCAAATGTTAATACTTTTGGGGTTTTAACATCTTAATTTTCAGTTTTTTTCAACATGCTTTTCCAGTAAAATTTGCCCAGGAGAGCGAATTTTGTAAACGTCCAATACATAGTGGCTGATGAACGAACTAGTCATGGTCACATTGAGTAGTTTGTACACAACGAAGAAAATTTACGGTAAAATTTGAAAGAAAATTTCCAATCATGCCTGAGAAAGTGAATTCATTTTCATGAGAAACTACGCAAAGTTGCAACGCAATAGACAAAAGTACTCTCGTAGAGTTTTCATGGGTCCGTGCTTTTTGTTCCTTTCTGATACTTGCTCAGTAGAACTGAACACAAAGCGAAAGTGGTTTGGTGAACGTCTAACGTGGCTTAATGAACTGTGTCCATAAAGCTCCAATTTAAGTTTTACGTGCCGAAAATGTAGACTAATTATCTCTCTTTAAGCTAAGTAAGTTAACCTGTCTTATATTTCCTCTCTCTTCTGAAATCGAATTCAGTGTTCCCCCGAAGAAATCCATGTCGTGCATGCGCATCGCGCATTTGAATTTTTATATCTTTTCCTCATGGGACTTTTCACGGCACGTGTGCACATTCGACTTGATTTGTTGCAGTTTCCGTGAAAATTTTAAGAGAGAAAGATTCGTTTCTTTTTCCAAGCGCGTTCTTTTTCCAATTGTTCGTCATGACTTACCCGTTTTGTCTGTATCTCACGCATGGTTTTGAAACGATCTGACCCTGTATTTAGCATTACTTAAAATTTTGGCGTGTTATTCTTGCCTAAAAATAAATTTTCCGGAACATAACATTTTCGAGAACCCCAAGATGAACTTTACTGCTTGAAATTACGTTGAGACTTTTGAAAAATATAATAAATGAACAAATCAAACAGGGCTGAAACGAGTTTTCCACGCATCACAGATTTTTTTTGATGATAGCATGAATCCTTAAGTTCAGTAAAGAATGATATGAAACCATGCAACCGCCAAATTGTATCGCCACTTATCGTAGGTTACAAAAAAAAAAAAAAAATGGAAAAATAACACCTACCTAGATTTGCAGAATTCCATATTTCTTTTCAAATCTTGTGATTTCAAAAGAAAAAGTACACTAAAAGGATTAAATAAATGTTCATACCTAGTCGGATTATCTTGCACAAAATATTCTGTGACAATATCAAACAACTTCAAGTCGGGGCTGCTTAATTTTCCTCCCCCCCCTTTTTTTTTCGTTTTTCCCCTTTTTCCCCCTTTTCCCTTTTTCCCCCTTTTCCCTTTTCCCCCCTTTTTTCCATTCTTTTTTTTTTTAAATTAAAACAACAGTGGATGGTTTGAAACGTTCAATAGAAGGTATACGCATTTGGACTTTATAATTTATCACTATCGTCAATTGAAGGCAGGAACTTAGCATTTTCAACTATTTTTGATCTGGAAAATTTATCAGAATGCTTAAATTTGCATCTTGTCTAGCCTAGCAGTCCATTGGACAATTACTTTGTATCTCGGATGAACCTTTGAAACAAGGTGCATAAAACTTACAGATACCTTAAGAACTTTCTCTTTTCCGAGTGGCTAGGAAAAGTTTACCATATCATAACCACCGTCCAGCAACCATGTATCGAGTAATAGATGATGGGATTATTCTCAAGTATCTCAAGTCCGGTTTTCGTTATTACTGGCGCGCGCGCCAACAGTTTTCACTACAATTAGCACCAAGTTAAAA